ACACCAGGGCAGGGACAAAGTTGACAGCATCCCCACACCAGGGAAGGAACAAAGTTGGAAGCATCCGCACACCAGGGCAGGGACAAAGTCGGAAGCATCCCCACACCAGGGAAGGGACTAGGTTGGACACATCCCCACACCAGGGGAGGGGCAAAGTTGGAGACATCCCCAGATAGGGGAACAATGAAGAATTTCTCAACATCTCTGTACAAGAGAAGACATCATTTGAAGTATCATACACAAGAAAAGGCCAAGAATGTAAGAGATATCCCAACATGAGAGACAAAGAGACCATTCACGGAACACAGCATGGATCCATCTCAGTATAGTTTTAAAAATGTTTACCAGGAAAACTCAGCGAATAGCAATCTTTGTTAGTTGTTTCAATAATTTAAAATTTCGGTATGTATACTGTTTTATGTCTCGGAATTTTGTCAATATTTAACTTGAAACTTATAAACTTTGTACAACTTTTTTTGGGGGGGGGATCAGTCTGATGTTTATTAAAGTGTACGCTTTTATGCAATGATTCTGAGTTATATGATGTACATACTTTTTGCAATGTCACTGGATTCATTTGAGTTTTCCTGTAAGACTTTATGATTTTCCAAGAATGAAAAACACAACAGTATCTCATGAATCACTTGCAGAATATGAAGAAATAAATTTATCCTCAAGCAAACTTGACAAACAGTGTTAGGGCAAGTACCAGCATCACTGAGTTACAGGTAAATGCAAGGTAAGATGATATCATACAATGGTATTACCCAATGAGCATTAACGATTTGAGTTTGCTTGAAGATAAGACATTACAGACATTTACACATCAGAGCTTACAAAACAATAGCTTAAAAACCTATCCAAGTTTTCTTACTCCTTTCCTTATGAGGTTATTTTGTTTTTGCTATCAATGGGACTTGATTTTGTATTCAGCATTTCATAAATAAAAACAACCACTCTGGTGGAAATTTGGATACTCATCAGACTAAAGAATGACATTTGGAAACGATCCAAAATTTTGGAAGAGTGCATATATTCCATGTTGTTATTTTTTCTCTTTCATCAACTCAAGATGGGCAAACTTTCTGTTCTAATGATTGGAGTAAAAATCTTGAATAGCTCAAAAAAGGCTCCAAAAATATTCAAGTTTACATCAGAATGACCTTTCAAAATCACCCAAATCTGAAATGTTCTATTTCAGAACAAACTTTCAAAAATCTTCCTGTTTTTGCTTTTTGATACCGGTCAAACATGTAACCATACACATGCACTGAAAGAAAACTGAAGATTTTTCAAAAATATCTCCTTAATTTGAGGAAAGGTCAGTGATGAACTAGGATATTTTTGACACCTTAAAAATTGCAAATGTACAAATGATTCTTTTTTTACATTTCTGATGAAAACACACGGCTTGACTTGAAATCTCTGGAGGCAAAGCTGTTGTCATGGTAATGAAGGATGTCGCTGTCTATCACGCTGTTTACCTGCATCAACGGCAAGGAGAAAATAAAGTAAAGTGAGAAATGCATCGGTGCAAACAAATCTAAAACAAAACTCTTGAGTACATCGATTTCAGTTTGAAAGTCTGTGCCAAGTTTTCTAATACAATGCAATTCTCGTATAACAAGAAGTTCAATTATTCCACAATTAAGCTCAATTATATAGTTACAATGAAAAGAAACTGTCTAGCTATTATCTGTTCATTTTTAATACCCATCACATTCACAAATCACTCATTGTGGGATTAATTTGTTCCAAATCTTCCAAAAGACACCAGTATTGTGATGAGCATAATGAAGCTATAACTTGAAAATGTTGCTTTAATTCAATCCAGTGAATCAGAAAGTATCCAATGGCCAATGTTTGAGCAACAACCTCCTGTCTGAATGACTTCTTTATTAAGTCCCAGAAAATCTACACACACTGGTCCAAGGTTAACTCTAAGACTTTGTCTTACCGTAGGTCTACGTATGTATACAACACTATAAGCATGTGACACTGGATATAGGAGCCTCAGTCATGGGACTTTTGGTATGAACAATTTGCCAAGAGGTCATTCAGAGTCTTTAATGACACAAAATAACTAAATTTAACTGAAACTAGACACAAGAGACTGGGAAACTTGGACCAAGCTTTGTTATATGGAATTCATCTTCCAAAGGAGTGATTTAAGTCCTGAAACCCCAAATTTTAATTTAAAATTTGTTCAGAGGTTAGAGTCCGTATAAAAAGAATACTACCTTGTAATAAAACTATG